TCGACAGCCGCTGGTAGAACTCCACGGTGTCCGAGTGCGGGGGCGGCATCTGATGGTGGTAGGGGGGTGTCGGGCAGGGGTTCCGGGGGAGGTACTGCCTGTGGGGGGATGGGACGGTCAGTGCCGGTGCGCGGCAGCCCCCGGCCTCCCCGCCTTCTCTCCTTTCGTGGATCAAAGGGAGCCTCTCAGGCACCACCTCACCCAGCATTACCACCTCAGTCCCTGCGTCCTGTGGGGAGCCCAGGTCGAGGCTCCCTCGGACTCAGGGGCCCCGTACCCACCCCATGTGGCCCCTCACCGGATACGCTCAGAGTCTGAGGGGTGGGGCATGTGGTGCCAGGCGGCCTCTTCCATGGCCTGCTGGTAGAGCTGCTCCTTGGTGAGGGGCACAGGCCCCAGGGGACACACACCCAGCGACAGCGGTATGTTCACCTCTGACAGCTGCAGGGCCGGCTGGGCTGAGGCCGGGGGAGCTGACGTGCTGCTCAGGATGATGTCTGCGGGGAGGGCAGAGGTGGGGCCGGCGAGCGGTGAGGCTGGTGCGTCCGGCCCCTCCTGGACGGCCCGCCCCACCCCCGGAAGCTCACCTCGCTCAGTCAGGTGCAGCGTGGGAACGGGGTCCTCGATGCCGGAGCTGATGGCTGCCCGCTCCGCCATGGACTTCAAAGAGCTCAGAGGCTCAGGGGCCTGGGGAGGGAAGAGGTGCCTGGCCTGAGGTCCAGGGCCGAGGGCTGGCACTGGGTCCTCGTGGGCCCCGGCGCCCTCGCCTGCTCCGGTGGGGCTTCAGCTAAGCCAAGGCCGTTAGTGTAAGAGCACGTCCACTGCAGCACCTAACAGCGGGGAGAAAACCTGGACACGACCAAGTGTCCACCGACAGAGGGGCGCCTAGCACGTGTGGACCCTGCTGTGCAGCCCCGTGACAGTAACACACCAGCAGAGAGCCCGAGCGCCACCACCCTCACAGAACCGGCAGCAGCTCCCACTTGTCTGCACGCCTACACGCTGGGAGGAGCCCGCCCACTGCCGGCTGCCCCACGTGCGTCACTAAGACCCCCTGCCCCTCTCCACGGCCACCGGCCACCGCTGGCCACTGGCAGTCGCCTTCCACTCCTCTCGCCACCCCACTCCCCACGCCCTTCAGTCACCGAGGTCTCTCTGCCCTCGGAGGCACCTTCACTGCTGCCCCACACCGTCCTGGTCTCACAGGCCCCCGAGGGACCTTTCCAGCCATGTCTTTCTCTGTCATTTTTCTACTCAAAACCTTTCCACCACTCACCCAGTAATTAAAAAAAGAAAATGTTGTGGACCTGTTTTGAGAATCTCAAGGCTCATTTTTTCCCCCAGAAAAAGGCATACACTGAATTTCCTGTCCGTTGTATTTCTAAAATTTGGGTGCTCACTCGGAGCCAGAAGCTATCCTGAGAGCTATATGAGGACTATTCCCAAGCATCCTATCATATTTGAGGAGTGACTGCAATTACTTTCATTTTCCAGATGAAGGCAGGTACAGGAAGCAATGCAGGGCTTGGACCCTGAAAGTGGGGCCCTCCTCGCCCTGCCTCCTGCGGAAGTGAAGTTAAAACACACTGGCCCAGGGATTTCCCTGGCGGCCCAGTGGTTAGGACTCCACACTTTCACTGCGGAGGGCCTGGGTTCAATCCCTGGTCAGGGAACTAAGACCCTGCAAGACGTGCGGCGCGGCCAAAAAAACAAAAAACCCAAAATAAACCCCGAAACACACTGCCCCAGATGGTCACCCCACGTCCTGCGGCTGCCCTTTCAGACTCTGGCCCTGCAGTCAGCCTGCACCCCGTTCCTCTCGCCTCTGCCGAACCCTGCCGAACAGCTCTGGCATTAGCCCCCCCCCGTAGAACTCCAGCCCCGGGGCGGGGGCGCTTCTCCCTGTCAGCCCCCCCTGCCACTGTGACCCCACACGACCTGGCCCCGGTTCCACCTCAGAAACCTTGCTGGGCTGCCTCCCCAGGTTAAGTCAGATACACGCACGTGGGTCCACAGCACCCCGGCCCCCACCCCACCCAGACACGCCCGCCATACAGTCCCACTCTGCTCCCTGTACGGAAGGTGGGAAGCGGCTACATTTACCCAGCACAAAGTGGCTCACAGCAGACGTCAAGTGTTTTCTGGACTTAAATGTTTTTTTTAGAAGGCAAGAGGGTGGTGAGCTCTGGATGGTGGGTCACGTAAAGTAATACGTCTTATGGGGAGAAATGACCGAGGGCCGGAAGGAGAGCGATGACAGTGGACACCGGGGAGCGAGCAAGCAAGTACAATCAGGAACAAGGAAAGTACCCAGAGGGACAGAGACCCAGGTGGGGGTGGCAGAGAAGCCCGGAGATGATGTGAGCGTGCAGGTGTGCCAGGCGAGAGAAGCCAGAGCAACACAGTGAGGGCTGGAGGTGGAGATGGCAGGTAGAGACCTGCAGCCAGGGGACAGCGACCATCTGCAGTGGAGACACAGGGCCAGGACAGAGAGGCTCGGGGCCCGCCGGGGATGTGCGGGGCCCACCTTGATCTCCGGGGCAGCGCTGAACTGTGGAGGTCCATTGAGCAGGGCGCCGGCTGCCTTGGCCTCGCTGAAGCTGGGTGTCGGGGAGCTGGGAGGGTTCACAGGTAGTGGCACCAGGAGACTGGGTCCCCCCGAGTTGTTCCCTGAGCCTGGGGCCACGCCCCCAGCCCCCGTTGGGGCTGTCGCATTGGGTTCCTTCCTGGGGAGGGGTACAAAGGGTTGGAGGCTCAGAGGAGGGTCCCCAAGGGCGGGACAGACAGGAAGACTTGGGTGATGGGGGAAAGGAGTCAAAAAGGGAGAATGCACAGAACATGGGGCCAGCTGAGGGACGCAGACAGGAGAGAAGCTCTCTGGGCTAAGGGAGAACCGACCCCTTGCCATCACTTCCCAGTAAAGAAGGGCTGTGGAGGTGGGAACAAGCATTCTCAGGACGCTCCCAGAGACCCCACGGCTAAACGTTCTCTAGGAAGCAGGTGGGAGCACTTCTTACACGGAGTGGCCCGTGTAGGAGGGGGTGGGAAAGAGCCACACAACAGAGAAGCCCACCTAGAGCCCAGGGGTGAGGCACCCGGGGAGGAGGGAGGGAGGGGTCCGGGGGGGGGTCTCCCCCATTCCCACAGAGGACGCTGCGCTCTCTCTTGGGCCACTCTTCTGGGAAATGGTCTGACCTACGATCTGGAGGGGTGGCTGGGGAGAGGACGGACTGGGACCCTTCACTGTTAAGAAGTGGACGCTGAGCCCCTGACGGAGTGAGGAAGGCCCTGGGGCAGGACACAGAAAAGGGAGGAGGCGGCAGGGCACGAGACTCCTGCAGGAAAGGGAAGGCCAGAGCGTTCCAACGGGTCTCCGGGGGGCTCTGAGAACAATCCCACTTAGGCGAGGAATGTTCTAGGGCAGAGCTGGGGACCGATACCCCAGCTGGGAAAAAGTCGGGACTCAGCACCTAAGCGGGTGGGAGAGAGCTCTAGGGGAAGTCCCCACCGGCAAGGGCAGGGCCCGTATGCACCGTGTGGCGACCGTGTGGGCGGCCCCGTGCCTCCTCGTGCCAAAGGCTGCCTGTCCCCAGCCCTGCCCGAGGCCGGACACTCACGAGGTGCTGGGAGGTGGGTTGTGGGGGCCAGACGGGGGGCCCAGGGCCTGGCTGTTGGCACTGCTGCCCCCGCCGCTGCTGAGAGCCACCTCTGCCGGGCTGTCTGCCACTACTGAGCTGTAACCTGGGGGAAGGAAGAGGGGCTGAAAGGGGCCTGCGGCAGCCACCCCAGGACCCCCCGCCCGGCCGCCTCCCACTTACTGGTGGCGCCGTTCTGCTTGCCTCCGCCTCCGCCTCCGCCGGGCTGCACGCTGGGGGGCCGGGGCTGCGCGGGGCTGGGCCCACTGGGAGCTGGCGGGGCCACAGCCTGGGCGTAGGGGGCAGGCGTGCCCGAGCTGTGGCTGGGAGCTGGGCTGGCCTTGGCGCCCAGGGCGCTTGGGGGCGCTGCCGGGGCAGGGGCCCCGTTGTTGCCAGGGGCGGTGCTCAGGGCAGAGGCGGCGGGCGGGGGGCCGGAGGGGTAGCTTGGCGGCACAGCTGGGGACTGAGGGTGCTGGCTGCTGTGGACAGGCTTGGAGCCGTTTTTGGCTGGAGACTGCAGGTGGGAGGGAGGAGAGGGTCAGGACACAGTGGGCCGCAGGTCTCGCCAGCCTCCCGCACACCCCTCCCCGGAACAAGGCTCCATCCTCGGTGCTGGCCTTGCTGCCCCTCCCTGCGGACCCAGATGACCCCCATTTGCCCTCATGGCTTCAACCTCCACCTTCATGCGCACAACACTCGTGCATTTCTAGCCTGCATCCAGCTTGCCATGTCCTGCCTGGACATCCCCACGATGTCCCACAGGGATCTGAGACACCACTTGGGTGTAAGAGAAACCCATCCACCTGATGACAGAGCAGTAGTGGGAAACACATCAATGTCCTCAGTATGAGGTTAGCTGGACCCAGCCAGAAGTCCAAGGGGAGAAGAGAGAACAGCTGAAGATAGGATAGTAATTCTGAATGTCACTTAAAGGGTCCCAAAAGCAACTCAAGGGGCCGTTAATGACCAATACCCCACAGAGCACGTGGGGTAACGTGCGCCTGACAGCCCGCGGCTGAGCTGCTGACCATCCCTCTCAAGCCTACCCGGCAGCCGTCCTCACCGCTTCCTGGACCCATCCTGAGGCCCCACGGGCACCTCACGCTCACTCCACACCAAGCAGGACTTGCGATCAACTCCTTCCCAACACCACGCATGGTCACCCGGGTCCCACACCAGCCTCATCAACTCTGCCCTCAGGGTCTCCCTCAGGACCAGCCCTCCGATGAGCCCACAGAGGGGTTTCAGGCTCACTTTCCTCCTGCCTAAAGACAGCATTCCGGTGCAGCAGCATTTCCTAAAGTGTGCTGCTGCCCTGGGACACGTGAGCAGAATCCACAGGGTGCACCAAGGAGAAAAAACTCTCAGAGGCACTTCCCCTCTTGGAAACTTGTGATGCACACCGTCTGCGCAGCCAAGGCCCAGCGCGCGCCCAAGAAAAGAAACCTGTGTGGTTTTTGACCTACCATTTCTGGGGCTTGCTGGGCCCTTTCAGAGCTGGTCCACCAGGTGTGGGCCCCCCAGCCCAACAATCTAAGGTCCTGCGCTCACGGTCAGCCCAGCGGACCTGGCTGGGCTCACCTCTCCACACTTCCACGTCCACCACGACTGGCCTATGTCTCCTGCCGCTGCCCCACATGGGAATGTATCTTCCTCTAATGCCCACGGCAGACACCCTTCCCAAGAAGCATCTCCCGACCACAGCACCAGCCACGCACCTGTCTGCCTGCCCATCAGTACTGCAGGCCTCCCTCAGGGCAGCCTGACCCACCGCGTCCCCAAAGCCCAGCATGGGGGCCATACTCAGGCCTCAGTAAGCCTCTGGAAACCAGCGAATGAGCGAGTGCTGGGCCCATCAACGTCCAACGCCCATCGGACCCACCTGGCTGATTTCACTATCCGTCGAGCGTCCCCTCTTCTTGTCATCTTCAGAGTTTTCCTGAGGTTTGAGAGGTGCAGTCAGAAACCTGTGTGTCTCTAGGGACCCGACAGAGACGCCAACCTCCGAACCCCCGGACCTGAACCCAGCTGACCTACCTTCCAGCCCCAGAGCTGTTCAAGCCCCTATGACCTTCATCTCACTGGGGAACCTACCTAAACCCTGCCCCTTAGGGTGCTTGTCTTCTAAGGGGCCAGCACCACGTGCCAGGCTCTTAAGGGTCCAGGAACCTGCTCTCCTTCGAGTATCCAACTCCCCATCCCTTCCCAGGTGCCCAGTGCCCAGGCTCCTCGGCACCCCAGGCACCAGCCTCCCTCCTCCACACCCAGGACCCACGTGTGGCCCTAACTGCCCTATTGGCAATCTACAGCCCTTGGGGCCCAGACCCTGGATACTGAGGTTCCCCTCCTGCAGGACATTTCCTCAGCCCCCGGCCCCTGTGCCCTCCTTGGAGACTCAGACCCACAGGCCTCACCGTGGTGCAGTTGGCCGGGCTGGGCGGGATGGGCGAGCTGGAGGTGGTCGAAGTGGGCGTGCTGCTTGACTGGTTGAAGATCTCATCCTCCATGTGACTGTGGCTGGGCGGGGAGGTGGCGACCAGCGCCTGTGCTGTGGGGGCGTGAAGGCTGTGTGAGCTGGTGGGGACGCCTTCCCTCAGGCCTCCACCGCCCTTCACCCGCAGGCCAAGCCCGGGCCTCACGAATGTCCTCGAGGTCCAGGTCGTCGTAGAGGAACTCGTTCTCCTCGAAGTCGGGGTCCTGGGACGAGTCCACGTAGTACTCGACATCGTCCTTGATCTTGCGGATAGCGTCCACGAGGATGGAGTCGTTGTCCAGCATGCGCAGGATGGTCTCCAGCATGCGCACGTGGTAGCGGTGCTTCTCGATATGCCGCTTCAGGCCCTCGATCCGGTCCTGCTTCTGCTGGCGAGCCCAGGGCCAGGCTCAGGGGCTGCAGGGCCTGCCCTGCCCCTCCTGCCCCCACAGAACCCGTCCTCAGTCCCTGACCCTGGTGGAGACCCAGAGGCCCCACTCCAGCCCCTCCGGGGTCTGCCCGCCTTGACCCCTCAGGGATCCCGCGGCTCCTCCCACCCCGACATCCCTGGAAACTGCTGAAGGAGCCAGGGATCCCGGCATCTCCCCTACAACGTGGCCCGATCTGCACCCCGCCTGACCGTCCAGCCCACCCACCAGCTCCGACCACCTTCTGGAATACAGGAGCACAGCCGCCCCTGTCTTGCTCTAACAGTAATAATGGCAATCCCCGTTTGGGGGAAGCTTGTTGTTTACAACTCTGAGCATCTGTCACCACCATGACCCTCACCCCCAACCACGTGTCCCTAAGAGGAAGCCCAGATTCAGAGACCTGTCTCCTAGGCCCCTTCCCAAGGCCCCACTCCCTTTAGGATTTGACATCCTAGCCCCAGTTCCAAATCCCTCCTGCCTGCAAGGACCTCCCTCCAAGCCCACGGTTCCAGACCCCTCAGTCTCAGACACGCAACTCCGGCACACCGCCACCCCCAGCTTCCCAAGGAGCCAGCTCTCTGTCCCCCATACTTCCTGGGTCAATACGCAGAGACAGGCTGCAGCCCTAGGAACTCGGACCCTACAACCCTGGCTTTCTGGAATTTGGGTCCTGAGCCCTGGCTCTGTCTCCGACCACTCTTCTCAGGCTCAATGAGCCACTCCTCCATGCCCGCCCTGCCCACTCCTGCTGTCCTCTCCTTAGGACCCGGGCCCTCTAGGTGCTGTGAGGCCGCAGCCGCAGCTCCTCAACCTCCCCGCCCTGGGCGGCCCTCGGGTCTCACACTTACTCTGCGACCCAAGCAGAGCTCAGCATCTTCCCCCAAAGGGCTCCTCTTCTTGTCGGCTCCACAGTTTACCCAGACACCCAGGTGGGACCCTGGCGTCTGCCTCATCTGTTCCCTGCACGCCCCACCCTCCAGTCAGCTGCTAAGCCCTCCCCATCCCACCCCTTGACCCCCTAATTCCAGCTGCCAGCCCTGTCTGCCTCAGGAGCCCAGAGAGCCGGCCTCTCCTGATCGCCAGCCCATCTCTGTCCTCTGGGCACAGGGGCCCCCCACTCACATCCTTGTCGCCCTTCTTCTTGCGTGTTTGCACCGACAGTGACTCCACTTCACTCTCAAACTGGTCCACCTGCATGTTTAGGGTGTCGATGGTATTCTGGGGGTGGGAGGGGAAAGGCAAGCGGTCAGCCAGAGCCCTCTCATACAGCCAGGGTCCGGGCCCCAGGTCACCTCCTCCTCTACCCTGACTCACCGTGAGCCACTGGCCGACCTCCTCCTTTTCCTTCTGGGCAGGGTCCACCTTCTGTGCCAGGCCCAGGCCCTCCTTGCTATAGGCTTTGGTCTTGGTCTCTCGCTCCACAACTTTGAACCGTTCCATTTGCTGTGGAGAGCACAGTTGGAAGGGGGATCCCGAAGGTGGGAGAGCAGCTGACTCAGGGCCAGTGGACACTCAAACCGGAGCCCCACTCTCAGGTTCCCAGCCCTTTGCCTCCCACCTTCCCCAGGTACAGAGACCTCACTCTTCTCGGGACCTCTGGGGCCCCAAGAATCCGACCCCCCCACACACACCTCTCAGGTAGCAGACTCTGGGCTCCTACCGTCTCAATGAGCTTGCGGTTGTCTATAAGCTGCCTCTTGTCCTTGATCTCATTGGATGCTACCCAAGTCTTGATCTGGTCCCTCAGCCGCTGGAGGTGGGAACAGCAAGACACTCAGGACCCGGGCGCCGAGGCCCCCGCCCCCTCCTCTCCCTGTTCCCCCCGCCCTCAGGACACAGGAGTCCGGGCCCCCAGCCCCCTCACTTGAAGCTTCTTAATCTCCTTCTTTAGATCAGCCTCATACTTTTCTTTCTGGTTCGCGTTGGCTGCATTGTGGAGCTGAGGGATGGAGAGAATCCAGGAGTTTGTGTGGTTCTGGCTGTCCTACTGCCCACTCCAGTGGTAAAACTCCAGTCTCTCTCTGCGGGCCGGGGACTCTGGGGACAACCCCCCCAAGGACCAATCCATCTCAGAGCTGCTTCTCTGAGGTCCTTGGCACCTGGACATGCAGGCCCTCTCCCTGGTTGACACTCAGGAACTCCTCAACTTTGTCCTGTTCTCTCCTCCCTAGAGACCCACCCAGATTTTTAGGGGCCAGCCCCTGTACCTTCTGCCAAATATCTTCAAACTGCTCCACGCCCTCGGACACCTTCTTGAGGCAGCGATCAATCTCACCTGGCCAGGGAGGAAGGCAGGCTGTTAGCATCCTGCCAAGGCAGCAGGGCTCCAAAGAGGAGTTCCGAGGAGAGTGAGCACGTGGCCACACAGGCAGCAGGCAGTGGACCTAGTACCTTGGAGCTTGCGCTTGTCCGCCATCTTCCCTGCCCTACAGACGCACTCTCTTCATACTCTCTTGGAGAAGGACGCTGCTGGGAGAGATTGGGAAGGAGCACACACACATTTACTCCCCGCTGGCCCGGACCCAGAGACATGAACGAGGTTGGGAATAGGGTGCATGGGACGGAAAGGGGAAGGTGCATTCACTATCTGATGACAGAGACTGGGCCCAGTTCTCCTTTTGCTGCCTTGACTGCCCAGCACAGGGTCTGGTCCAGAAAAGGACTCTGGAAGTTTGCTGAAAGAAGGAAATAGATATACTCTTTGGGACTTCCCTGGTGGCGCAGTGGTTGAGAACCCGCCTGCCAATGCAGGGGACACGGGTTCGAGCCCTGGTCCGGGAAGATCCCACATGCCGCGGAGCAACTAAGCCTGTGCGCCACAACTACTGAGCCTGCGCTCTAGAGCCCGCGAGCCACAACTACCGAAGCCCACGCGCCTAAAGCCCGTGCTCCGCAACAAGAGAAGCCACCGCACGGAAACGAAGAGTAGCCCCTGCTCGCCACAACCAGAGAAAAAGCCCGCGCGCAGCAAGGAAGACCCAACGCGGCCAAAAATAGATAAATACATAAATAAACAAATAAGATATACTTTTTGTGTGCCTCTGACCCAGGAAGTGGAAAACTCCTAGAGCATGGAGCACTTTCCCCCCAGATGATACTCAAAAGGATTTTTTAGAGCAGGAAAATGTCATGCAGCACACAGCTGCCTGCTAGGGACAAAGGCCTTAGACCTGGAGACCACAATTCCCACAGAGAAGTCAAGCACACAGGTGACCAGAATCCTAACACAGGGCGAGGCTACTCCTCAGATAAGTCAGGAGACAAAGAATTTTGCATCCCATGGAGAAGGGCCCGATACCATTTATACGTGTATCAGTTGTAAGGAACAAAGGGGAAGTGCAGTGGGGGGACACACGGAAGATGCCTACAACTGTGAAAGCCAAACCCACCCACACAGACACGGCTGGATCCCAAGTAGAAGAGGGCTTTAGACCTCGGACAAATTTATTCCAGAGAAGGAGCCTTAAACCAAAGGAGATAATACTCCTAACCCAAAAAGGGTAATACCAAAAAGGGTTAGAGGTTTGGGGGCAGAAAGCATCACTCGAGAGAAGAGCAGGAGAAGAGAGAACTCTTACGAAGATGAGAGGATGAAAGGGAACCTGAACTGGGAGGGAGCTATCTATCGGCACACACGAAGGAATTACATGTCAAGTGCACTACTGGTAATGTAAACTCAGGGAAACATAAACCCTCAGACAAGCACCCAATACTTAGAGACATGGGCACCTCCATCCTAAAGGAAGTTACGTGCAACCCAGAGGGGACTGAGGTCAAAGAGGAGTCACCAGAAGCTTTCGCCCAGGGGGAAGCGGCACCTTAGGGCCCGACACCAAAACCAGGAGAGATGGGGAGCCTTGGGGAGGGAGGGCTATGCCTGTGCTGCAGCGAGGGGGCCTCTACTGAAAAGCATGGCTTCCTGAGACCTGGGGAGTGCCCACTCTACAGGCCTAAGGCAGGGTGCCCCAGAGCAGCCCCAACTGCCCAGGGAGAAAGAGCCCTACACGGAGGACTCAGAGCCTTAACCCAGAGGGAAGAGACAGCAAGAGGGCCCCCACCCACTGTGAAGGGAACGCAAAGAAGAGTCCGGCCCAACAGAACCTTCCACAGTGACAGAAACGTTCCGTATCTGTGCCACTGAACGCTCGACAGCTCCAAACGTGGCTAGTGCAACACAGAATGGAATGAAAAATTTTTCTGCTAACTAGTTAAAATTTAAATCACACGTGGCTAGCAACTACTGGTGGCACAGGGTATCAGAGAGCACGCCTTAGAACCAGAAGCCCACGTGACGGGGCTGGCCCTCAACCTCAGAGCAGCGTCCTCCACAGGGACCCACTTGCATGACAGCAGACCTTTGACTTGGGGGAGCGTGGATCTCCCCCATAAAGTAGCAAGCAAGAGGAATGGCAGCACCCTTGGCCCAGGGCTGGCTGACATGCCAAGGTGGGGCCCAATCCCAACACGGGAAATTCCAGCTCCAGGAAGGCGAAGCAGCCAGAAGAAGGATTCAGGAGAGAGCTGCACAGAGGGGACTCAAACTGAGGTGGGGCAAGCGCCTTTGATGTGGGAGCTCACACAAGGGCCTGGACCCCAACACTGAGGTGTGCAGGAGAGAGTCTTCACTCCAACACCACGACGCTGAAAAGCCTCTTACTGCCCAGGGGTGTGGGGTGGGTACAGGAAGCTTAGACAGGCACTTATACTCCCGGCCTCTGTCCCAGGAGCCCAATGCTGGGGCACGGCCGGGTGGTCCAGCCCAAAGGGACAGGACGCCCAGTTTACACCCCTAAACAAGGCACTGCACGCTTTAGGGAGGGGAGGCTTTCTCCAGGTCCCCACACTGAGTGGGCTGGGACACCCAGCCCAGCTGAGGAGTTGATACCCTCCAGAGGGGGCAACAGACAGTGGCAGCAGGAAGTCCTGAAGGAGTCGGAAGCAAGGTGCCAAGGCAACGAGAGCCCCAGCCGGGGGAGTGGGGTTTCAGACAGAACCTCAAAGTGGGCAACAACTGAGACCGGGAGACCTGCCCTGAGGAAGGCAGTTCCTCCAGAGAAGGGCAAGTACGCCGGGCTCTCCACAGAAAAACCCCACAGCAAGAGGGTGCCTGTACCTTAGATCCCCAGCAAAGGACCAGAAAGGAAGCTGGGGCCTGAGTCCTGAAGTAGAGATGCCCTCACAGAGGAGTCCCATGCTTAGAGAGCTGGGAGCCCCCGCGCTCTGGGAGGGTCCACCAAGATGCTCCAGGGAAGGTAACCATGGCAGGCCCACTCTGAGACAGGCAGGCATCTCAGGGAAAGGACCTGGTGTCCTCACCGTGTGGAGTCTCAAACGGCACCGAGGAATCTGGGAACCTTGGCCCCGGAGACTTAACCAAAAGACTCTGTCCGAGAAGGCACATCCCCACGAGTAAGGAGCCTACACTGAGCAGGTGGGTAGGGTGAGCCATGTGCCAGACCCACAAGAGCCAACACCATAAAGTGAGGGGCTGAAAGTAACAAAGAGCCCCAAACGGCACCTCAGGGGAGATGACACTGCCACACGGAGCGGCCTGGTGAGGAGTGGGGCAGGAGGAGCAGAAAGCTTAGTCCTGGGGAACCAAGCCAAGCGGTCCCCGATCCTGGGGCTGTCACGTGCCGATACACAGCAGCCGTGTACCGTGGGGAGAGGAGATCGGGCCTGCTGGGAAGTGATGCTGGAAGGCCATCCTGAACTTGGGAGGCTGCTGACGCTGTCACACAGAGATCTGAGAGGCCGGAAGGTGGATGTATTAGGTCCTGGGGCGGAGGGAGTTACCTCCCCACTGCGAGGCCCAGTACCAAGGGTGGGGGACTGGAAATCCCACCTTGGAAAGGTTACACCAGAGGAATCTTTAGTCCTGGGGAAGGTGACAACAGTGGGGTCGCCCCCTCAAGTCTCAGGGATCTCACACCCCCACGTCAAGGAACCTGTGCCTCAGGAGACGGCAGAAGCCTAGTCCCACCCAGTGGGACATCACAAGCAGGGGCTGAAGCATTAGCCCTGGGCACCAACACCTGAGAGGGTCCTTAGTCCCACAGGAGGGGACACACAGAAAGGCAGAGACACCTCAAATCCAAGAGTGGCCAATACAGGCAGGAACCTTACCCCTGGAGGAGGCAACACTGAGAGGCTCCTCGTCCTGGAAAGAGGCACCACTCCAGCCCCAAAACCCCACACCTCACAGTACAAGAACCTCAGATCTAAGAAGTCTTACACTCCTAGGGGGTTCTAGCAGGGTGGGCATGGGTAGGGATGAGCCCTGGTTCCACGACTGTTACACCAAGAGGGTTCTCTAGTGCCAGGAAGCGCACACATCCACAATGAGGAGCCCTAGAGGAGCACCGAGGGGGTGGGATCCTTGACCCCTGGAAAGACGATACCCCAGTGGAGGAACTGATGTGAATGCAGATAGAAGGCTCAGACCGAGGAAAGCGACAGCCTACACGGTGAGGGCAGTGGCGGAAGGTGTCAAAAAACAAACAGTACGGAAAGGACAGGAGCATCAACCTCGGGGGAGGTGACAGCCCCTGAACCAACAGGCAGGTCCTGCTTAGACACAGGGGTGCTGGCGCTGCCCACAACAGGAGATCATTAACAACGTGGAGAAAGCAGGAACCTGGGAGGCGCCACCAAAAGAGAACCAGGTACCTGAGACCCAGGGGAGCTCAAGAGCCCCACCAAAAGGACCCCGAGGCGGGAGTGACATGGAGAGGAAGCCCACACCGGGAGCGGGGTGGGCAGAGTCTGGATCCAGGCAGAGCTCACATCCAACAAGCCAGAGACCGATACCCAGACCCAAGAAGTAAGAGCGGAGGCCTGAGCGGGTAACGCCGAGGACAATCCTGACTCTCCAAGGGGTACGGCCTGGGCTGTGGGATGTGGAAGCCTTAGACGTGGGGAACTTTTCACTACAGAGGCGTAAACTTGGGCTGAGGCTCCAACTCATGGAGGTGGCATCTTCACTCCAGGGGAGTTCATCCCCCACCCCATCCCCAAATAGGAGAGTGGCGCCCACAGCGGGAGCGGAGCGGAGAGAGGAGCGCTGGCCCCGGGAAGGCTGACCCCCTCTCGCCACGGGGGTCCTCAACCAGTGGACTCACAGCCCCACACCCACGCGGAGGGGGGCAGCCTCGCCCCGAGACCGCTCCCCAGCACAGGGGCTGCTGCCGAGGGGGGCAGGCACCTGAGCCCCGAGAGGGCGGGCACCTGCGGCCAAGGCGCCTCCATCCTTCCAGCTCCTCCCGACGCGGAGAGGGGCGGGCACCTCGCACCCTCACACCCCACGGGGGCTCGACGCGGACGCCGCGCGGGGCCGGGGTCGCGGGAAGACCCCCGGGCGCCGCCGAGGGGCGTGGAGGAGGGAGCGGGGGCGGGGGAGCCGCGCACCGCCGGGCCGACGGCGAGCGCCGGGGCCGC